CAGGAATGATTTCACTTCTCAGCAGCACACAGTATAATCATCATCAGGAGACTGGAGAGAATGCTGTGACTCTAGATCAGGGGTCTGAGATGTTTGGCTTTGAGTCTAAGCCTAGGAAAAAGAAACTGTGCATTTGGCAGGGGGAAGCGATCAGACAACAGGGAGAGGTGTACCAACAGCCTTCTCTGTAAACAAACAGCAGCCTCAGAGCCAGGACCCCACAGAGCCTGCGAGAGCAGGAGAGAAGCATGCCCTGTGCATTTGGTTAGGAGGTCAGACAGGTCCAAGCACTCAGGAGGAAGGGAGTTCATGTTATAAGGCTGATGAACTAAGACTCAGAAGGTTTAGGTTCAGTTCTCGAATTCAGCTCTGAGCTTCCTGTATGATTCTGAGAAAAATGATCTCTGTTCCTCTGTACCTCAGTTTCTTTTCTATTAAACCATACCCACCATCAAAGAAAAAGCTGTCGCTGCATTTTTGGGCAGTATTTAGCACAAACTGGCACAATTTTAGGGACACGCCAGGAGAATGCTGGAGCTGCTGAAAGTGAACAAGAAATGCAAGGGAGTCTGGATGTCATTTTCATGGCGAAATTTAGCTAAGGGTTGTGAGGGTTTTTTTTTTCCACAAAATAAGAGGTTTGAAATATGTGAAATTTAAAAACCCAAATCAGATAGAGCAGGCTTAAGAAGTTAAATGCAAATATTTTTCATGATCTTGAACTCTGAGCCACCTACAACTTGTAGATTTTATTCATCCAAAGATGTCAATCTATTTTGAAATGCTTGGAACAGTGCAAATTCTCAAGCTGCATCACCACTCTTTTTCCCACCGGAAACAGTTCAGCAAATTGTGGTTATTCCCAGTCTTAACATATGTTTGTTTGCTCACTTGGCAGACATCAACCAACATGTTCATTTATTCAGCTTTTTACTTTGCACGTACCATTGTTTCAACATATAGCTCTCTAAAAATCAGTAACTAGGGCTATTATTTACACATGGAGTAAGGCTGAAAGCCTGTGTGAGAATCAAGTGAAGCATCCCTCTAAATGCTGAGCACCATCCTAGCTCAGCAACAGCCTTCTTGGACAGTCCATATAGTAATATAGTACTAGGAAGTCAGTGGGAAAGAGAAAGTTTCTGATGCCGCTTCCTTTTCATTTTCCTGTGTTGGAGCAGGGCAAAGCCAGAGTGCTTCTGCTAGCATTATTCAAACCACCCTTAACATAGCCCCAAAATAGACAGCTTGTTTTTCCATGTTCTCCTTTTGCAGGTTTCCCACATATTTCTAATACAAGTAGCTACCACAAACCTGCCAGGCTCTTCTATTGTACAAAGCAATGCTAACACAATGCTTTCATGTCCTGTGGAGAGGACAATTAGAAGTGAGATGGAAGCTGCTTATCTTCATATATTTTATTAATAATTTGATTTTGGTTCTAGCTTTAGTATTGTGATGTTGTATTTTTATTTCAGAGAAATGCTTGGAATGCTGTTATTCTGCACCCTAGGGTAAACGATCTGGATGGAGTCAAGACTACGTTTCAGCTGAGAGCTTTGCACAGGAAAGGCTTTTAGGTCACTTACACTTACAAGCCTGCTGAATTCAGCAAGGAAAGCTTTGGCAGGACAGTCTGGAGCACACTCAGCAATAACATTATTTAGTCAGAAAACAGCTTGTGAACAATAAAGCAATGCAACGTGGGCTGCTCCTCCTCTGAGACAGAGTGAGCATGAAGAACATTAATTCACAACCACAGAAAGGGAGATAGAGCCACGAAGAGAATGATGGCAGATCAAGGAGGCAGGTGTCTCTCCTCTGCTCTTTCATACCACCTGAACTTGGCCAGGACAAAACCTAGTCTTGCTTAAGTAGCAGCAATGCTTTCTGTCTTATTTGGATCTGCAGAAATTTACACCACAGCTTGCCCCATCAACATGAACTCCAACTCTCTGCTAGACTGGTACAAACGGCATCAGTTGCAAACAGCTGTTATTAATAACAGCAAAGGATGAATTGATGCTCACCTTGAACTCTGCCTGTACTTTATCATACTATGATGCGAGGAAACTAAGATTAACAGTTGTCAGATCCTGGAACTGCTGCTTTCAAATTAGTCTTTCCAATTTGCCATCAGAAAGCAGTACTTCCTACCCAGCCCTCTTTCAGCCTTTCCTTGCTCTTGCAATGCAGAGCTGCTACACAACTCGATATCAAGTTCTGTGCACAGCTGGAATAAGGCGACGAAGGTATAAGGTCAGTGAGAGATGAGAGAGACAACTACAGGCAGGGACAAACTACAGAATAACACAAGTTAGCTTCAAAGGAATTCCTTAACAGTATTATCTTATTTTGGAATTTCTCCAGAAGGAATCTCTCCTCAGGATTTCAAGAGATGGCTGTGACCACACCTTCATAATTTTTTTCCTATTCTTTTACAGTCCTTTCATGTATATCAAGCAAGTTTTCTAACATAAGCACAATATACAAAATCCCAATATCTATCTGCCTTTTTCACTTTGATTTCTGGCTTGCATAAATGTGTATTATGTGTCTTTCTACCAGCATTAATTAATACTACAGCAAGTAATAAAAATAACTCTAGCATAATAGATAACATGCTACCTTCTGGGAGAGTAGGTGGAATTCAGATCAAGGATACTTTTCAATCAAAGAAAAGAGCACGTTCTTTTCTTTGTGAAGAGATCATTAAAAAAAGTGCTTGGCAATACCTGGGAGCGTGAGATTGTTAGTAAGAAAGAGGAGATGAAAATTAACATCCAAGAAAGAAGTGACAGTAGAAAGACATAAAAATAAAGTAAATGGGAATAAAAAGAGAAATGTGACCAGATAAAAGGGAAATAGGCAAGGCAATCAAATATGATTAAAAACTGGAGGAGACAATCTGTCAATGCACATGGGGAATGAGATCTACAGGATTCAAAACAAGCTCACTGCAGTCTTTGGAAGTTTTTCCATTGCCTTTTACAGTTTGGAGTGTGGTCCAGCCAGCAGAGAAACTGGATTAGCAGAATTCAGCGGAAACTTTGCCTGGTATCTCATATACCAGTCTGTGTGCTAAGCTATCCGTGAGATGCGAAATTCAGAGGCAGCCTAATAAATTTCATTTTTGCTACACAGCTTTTGAAAACACAGTCTGCCTCAGCTAGGCTGCAGAGTCACCGCAAAGCCACCGTTATGACCACCTCCTAGGCTGAAAGGGTTTCAAGTGAAAAAGTATGAGAACACTAATGAAGACAGGATGGCTATAGTCCTCCTTGCCCATATTACATGGAGATGGTTTATAAACTCCTGAGGTCTGTGACAGAAAAATTACGAAGTCTGATTTTCTTGTTTTGGAATGGAGACATCCTTACCTTGCAGATACATTTCTTCTCCTTCCGTGAACATTTGGTTGCACCTGCTGCATCGTGCACAGCTTGGATGATAATGCTTGTCACCTGCCTGAAGAAAAATAAAAAAGGGAAATGAGGGATCAATGCATTGCACTGCTTTGTGAGCACTCATTATTTGCTGGCAGACCACTGCCATTTTTCTTCTAGTTCACCTGTTATGACACAACATTGTGACAACAGCTATAAGAATGTAAGATCTGCCACACTGCTTCAGCTCAGAGGTCTATCTAGTCCAGTGTCCTGTCCTCAACAGAGGCCAGCAGTGACCACTTTGGGTAAAAGGCTGTAAGAAACAAGACAATGCAGAACAGCCTTTCCTCTTCATGCCTTCCCATTCACGTAATCAGCGGTTTAAAGATTTCCTGGCTACAGGATACGTCACAATCTATCTATTCTCCATGATTTGCCCAACACCTTTTTAAATATCCATCTGTCTAACAGTCCAAGGCAATGAATGTCACACTGCAGTTAAATACTCCTGTAAACCTGCTGCCTCCTCATTTTGTCAAACAACATGTATTTCCTCAATTGCTCCATTCTTATGGATGAATTTAAACAATGAACGACAGTTTTCAACCTGCCATTTCATTCCTGGGCCTCCTCCTGACACTGCTGATATGGGCATTAATAGAGAAAGCTTTCTAGAGCCACTTCTGGGACCATTAACTTAATTCACAGATGCCTGACTTCAGAAGCTACAGTAGCACAGACAGCATGAGCTGAATTCGAACCACTGATGTAAAGATGCTAAATACTCTAGATCCTGCTACCCAAATCCAAATCCACTGAGCCATTCATTCTCTTAAATACATTGATACTTATAATAAACAAAGCTGATCAGATTTCAGGCCTATAAGGACAGGAAAAAAATCAAGGCACAGATATTAATGTAATTTCTTCTCCTTAGGAGACCAAAGCAACCAATGTATTAGCTTCCTTGCATGAGAAACTAAGCATGCAATGTCCACACCAGGCTTTTTTCATCAAAAAATAATTAATCCTAGAAAATGACCCTTAATAGTGACAAGTAATAAATGCTAAAAGTCTTGAAAATAGTATCTGGCTTTCCAAACAAGTGAACCTCAAATCCTTTTTCACAAAATATACCCTATCCACTGAGATGTTATATGCACAAAATATGTTTACTCTGTAGCTGACTTGTAAAATGTCATCAAATCCATTTCCTACTTCATTATACTCAAGACTGTAACATTACTAAATTCAACCTTTCCTTATGTTTATTGAGAATAATAAGAACATATTTTTGGTTCACATTTGACATTGATTATACAGGCTTAGCATTTAAAAGTATTTATATGAGATGATAAAGTATATGGATTAAGGTACCTGACAACTACCAGACAACCAAAAAAAAAAAAAGTAAAAAAAAAAAAAGTCCCAGCTTTTGAGCATTCAAAGCTCTTCAGCAGAGCAGCCCACAGAGCTGCTTGTCACAAGTGATTTCAGACCTATTTGATTTAAAGATGATGGCAAATCTGATGTCCTGGGAACCGCTCCCAGTTAATGAGATATAAAAAATTCCTAAGAATGCTGAATCACTGCCAGAAAGGATCTTCTCCAAACAGGAAGACAATAATTGAAAAATAGATTTGAAAAAATAAACCAGGAATCTTTGCTGGGGTCTGCCTGTCTCATCCAGCTAAAGAATATCTCTGCCACATAACTGTACTGCTGCTTAACAGAGCTCAGATTTTCAGTAGGCACATGGATTTTTCTGAAATAAAATTCATAGCTTCTCAAAAGGTATTCAGTAGGGTAGCTAAGTAGCTACATAGTCTGAACTGAAAAAAGCACAGAGCCTGTTCTATTATTATTAATTAACCTCTGAGATATCCCATCTGAGGTGGGATTGTGTCCTGTGAGATGCTAACCAAATTCCCAGGCACAAAGGACTGAAACCTTTGTACATAAGTATTATCAGATGAAGTAGGTTTTATAAAGAAATAATTCCCTACCAAGCACCCTGATGCTCATCTAAGGCAATGTAGTTTTAAGAAGAGTAATTAGGATCCAGCAGAGATATCTATATTGTGAGAGGACCACGGCATGTGGACAAAGAAAATCACGCATTCACACCTGTACAGTTTCAACTTCTGTTCTTCCAGTCTGGCCTTTGAGTCATGGTGGTTTTGTTTGGGGTTTTATTTTGAGGTTTTTGTTTGGTTTTATTCCTTTGTTTTTTTGTTTAGGAACAAGAAAGCCATATTGCACCTATGTTTTAATCAAATGCTGCATTTCATTGTCATAAGCAAAAGGTGCCAATCCTTTGGGTTTTGCGTAGCTACTCTGGCAGTCCTACCCCAGGCTTCTGAATTTCCTGTTCCTTGTTTTGCAGTTAATTCACAACAACTTTGGTCAGTTACTTCTACTAGCTTAATCCTAATATTAATATTAATATTATTGAGTCTTTAACTTGCCACGATCATCCAACAAACTTATTCCACTTATTTTTCTCCTCATCACAAAGCTTTTCTTGAGGATCCTTTAGAAAAGGGCGCCTAGATTCAAGTACTTATCTGTTAATTGATATAAGCAGTTTACATGTTTTTAAAAGCCAGGCTATTTATAGGAGAAACAAATCCAGAATTCATCATATATATTATGTGTAGACCTGTGGCCTCTCTGAAGATTTTTTTTTCCTGGAAAAACTTCTGATACACTACTGTCAAGAGGACATAGTTTAAACGATGTACACGTGTGTCTTCAAAACAGCCAAAGAGACCAATTTCAAGTTTATCGGATCTTTCCCGAAGGCTGAAACAACTGGCCAAATTTTAGCCTAGTGTGAGTGATGCTGAATGAACACCACGCCCCAGCTAACACAACCTTGCTAAATGGAAGGGCTAACACATCCCGCACTGCAGAGGTTTTGGGGGAGTTACGTGCCACCTGAGCTGCAGTTGCTGCTGAACGCTTCCAAACCGGTTTCATGAGTTTTCCGCCTCAGTAATGTTTCTATGACTCAGGAGTGGAAGCCTTTCTTCAGCGGGTATCCACTAAAAAACAATCTGCATCTCAACTAACTCAAGGCTAATCTTGCCATGCCTGACTTGCTGTAACCATCTAATAAAACTGGTTGCTAAAAATCAGTCTTTTACAATGTATTAGGAAAAGCTTCTGGATCTACAAGGGCGTATTGGGTTTGCATGGCAAGGTTTTGGCCGCAGGGGGGACTGCGGGGGTGGCTTCTGTGAGAAGCTGCTGGAAGCTTCCCCTGTGTCTGACAGGGCCAATGCCAGCCGGCTCCAAGATGGACCCACCACTGGCCAAGGCCAAGCCCATCAGCGACAGTGGTATCGGC